ACACAGGACTGTCCCATGTCCTAGGCCAACTTCTTTCCTTCTCCCTCCTTATCCTGGTGCATCCATGTGGTATAGCCTGTGAATTTAAGTCATTTCTAAACTGTTATTTGCTCCTCATTTCTTTTTTTTTTTTTTTTTTTGAGACGGAGTTTTGCTCTTGTTACCCAGGCTGGAGTGCAATGGCGCGATCTCGGCTCACCGCAACCTCTGCCTCCTGGGTTCAGGCAATTCTCCTGCCTCAGCCTCCTGAGTAGCTGGGATGACAGGCACACGCCACCATGCCCAGCTAATTTGTTGTATATTTAGTAGAGACGGAGTTTCACCATGTTGACCAGGATGGTCTGGATCTCTTGACCTCGTGATCCACCCACCTCGGCCCCCCAAAGTGCTGGGATTACAGGCTTGAGCCACCGCGCCCGGCCATTTGCTCCTCATTTCTGAGAAGCGTTTGGCCCTGGACATATTTGAGGAGAAATATCAAGGGGATGATGAGATCGGAGTGGTTTATAGACCCTGATTGGGCTTTATGGGACCAAATGTACAGGGATTTATTCTACATCCACAAAAATGTAAATATCTGCAGAAGGAAATAAACTTCTAGGAAAGCTCTATGTTTGAGCATGGCCTGAAGCAAACCCTAAGAGCATTTGCTTAACTTCTGACCTCTTTGCCATGGGCCTTGCTTATTCAGTTAGAGCTCCTACCTCCCGTGTGGTTTCTGTACCGTATCTTTCATGACTGCAAGACAACTGCAGTGTTACAGGAGACTGCTACTCCGCCATGGCCCCATGGCGGGCCCAGAACCTCTCTCCAGTCAGCTGTCCCCACCTCCTTTACAGTGATTCGGAACGTCAAGTTTAAGATTCTGGATGCAGTGGTTGCCCAGGAGCCCCTGCACCGCGGCGGGGGCCAGATCATCCCCACAGCCAGGAGAGTTGTCTACTCTGCCTTCCTCATGGTAAGACAATGAGGCTATAGGGGACCATCTGCTTCACTGGACAGGGCACTAAGAGGAGGAGCAACTGGGACTGCAGGCCCCCAGCCTTCCCCAAGCTGAGGACCCTTTCTTCTCACTCTGCTGCAGGCCACTCCTCGTCTGATGGAGCCTTACTACTTTGTAGAGGTCCAGGCACCTGCAGATTGCGTCTCTGCGGTTTATACTGTCCTGGCCAGGCGCAGGTGAGCAGCCCCAGGTATATTAGGGAGAGTGCTGAGAGCAAGAGCAGACCAAGAGGCACCTTGGCTCCTGCAGGGAGGAGGGGTTGGCCTCCCATTCCGTCTTCACTCTGGAAACCCTGAGAGCTGATTTTCCAGAAATAAGTAGGAAAAGAGTGAGGCAAGCCCCAGCTTTTCTTCAGATTAAAATTTGATGTTTCTTTTGGGTTCCCCTCCTCAGAGAGCTCTTGGAGGAAGTGCTGAGGCAAGTCAGTGATGGGAATGTCTTTGGGCCCATGTCCCATCACTGTCCCACTCCTGTCGTCTCCAGAGGTTCCTGCCACTTTGACTTCCACAGGGAATTAGGCTGGGCGCAGTCGCTCACGCCTGTAATTCCAGCACTTTGGGAACCTGAGGCGGGTGGATCACCTGAGGTCAGGAGTTCAAGACCAGCCTGACCAACATGGAGAAACCCCATCTCTACTAAAAATACAAAATTAGCCACATGTGGTGACGCATGCCTGTAATCCCAGCTACTTGGGAGGCTGAGGCAGGAGAATCGCTTGAACCTGGGAGGCAGAGGTTGTGGTGAACCAAGATCATGCCATTGCACTCCAGCCTGGGCAACAAGAGCAAAACTCCTTCTCCAAAATAAAAAAACTCAAGACCACAGGGAATTATACTGAGAGCCCCGAGCCTTTTCTGCTCTGTAGAACATTCTTGTTTACTCTTTCTTTGATGGTAACTCTGGGCTGAGATGCGTTTGGGAACAGCCAATGGCAGATTGCTTCTTGTCTTTTGGCCTTTGTATAACTAGAGATTCAGCCTTTATTTTTTTGTCTCAGGGGGCATGTGACTCAGGATGCACCCATCCCAGGCTCCCCTCTGTACACCATCAAAGCTTTTATCCCAGCCATCGACTCGTTTGGCTTTGAGACTGATCTCCGGACTCATACCCAGGGACAAGCCTTTTCTCTGTCTGTCTTCCACCATTGGCAGGTGAGAAAACAATGCAGGCTGGCTAGCTTGGCCTTGAACCTCTGCAAGCCTCATCCCCTTCTGTCCTGATCCCCCTCCAAGCCCTAAGTGAGATGTACAGCATCCTAGAGAAGAGTCCTCTTCTGGGGAGCATATATTCAGGGCAACTTGATCTGTGTCTCTCAGTTAAAAAAAAAGAAATACAGGCCCAGCACGGTGGCTCACACCTGTACTCCCAGTACTTTGGGAGGCCAAGGCGGGCAAATCACGAGGTCAGGTGTTCGAGACTAGCCTGGCCACCATGGTAAAACCCTGTCTTTACTAAAAATACAAAAAAAAAAAATTAGCTGGGCACAGTGGTGGGCACCTGTAATCCCAGCTACTCAGGAGGCCGAGGCAGGATAATCACTTGAACCCAGGAGGCAGAAGTTGCAGTGAGCCAAGATCGCGCCACTGCACTCCAGCCTGGGCGACAGAGCAAGAGTCCATCTCAAAAAAAAAAAAAGAGTGCCGGGCGCGGTGGCTCAAGCCTGTAATCCCAGCACTTTGGGAGGCCGAGGCGGGTGGATCACGAGGTCAAGAGATCGAGACCATCCTGGTCAACATGGTGAAACCCCGTCTCTACTAAAAATACAAAAAATTAGCTGGGCATGGTGGTGCGTGCCTGTAATCCCAGCTACTCGGGAGGCTGAGGCAGGAGATTTGCCTGAACCCAGGAGGAGGAGGTTGCAGTGAGCCGAGATCGTGCCATTGCACTCCAGCCTGGGTAACAAGAGCGAAACTCCATCTCAAGAAAAAAAAAAAAAAAAAAAAAAAAAAGAAAAAGAAAAATAATAAATTTAAAAATAAAATAGGCTGAGCGCGTTGGCTCACACTTGTAATCCCAGCACTTTGGGAGGCTGAGGTGAGTGGATCACCAGAGGTCAGGAGTTTGAGACCGGACTAACACAGAGAAACCCTGTCTCTACTAAAAATACAAAATTAGCCGGGCATGTTGGCGCACGCCTGTAATCCCAGCCACTCAGGAGGCTGAGGCAGGAGAATCGCCAGAACCCGGGAGGCGGAGGTTGCGGTGAGCCGAGATCGTGCCATTGCACTCCAGCCTGGGCAACAAGAGAGAAACTCGGTCTCAAAAAAAATTTTCGGAGTTTCACTCTTGTTGCCCAGGCTGGAGTGCAATGGCACGATCTCGGCTCACCTCAACCTCCGCCTCCCGGGTTCAGGCGATTCTCCTGCCTCAGCCTCCTGAGTGGCTGGGATTACAGGCGTGCGCCAACATGCCCGGCTAATTTTTTTGTATTTTTAGTAGAGAAGGGGTTTCACCATGTTGACCAGGATGGTCTCGATCCCTTGACCTCGTGATCCACCAGCCTCAGCCTCCCAAAGTGCTGGGATCACAGGCTTGAGCCACTGCGCCCGGCTCCAAAAAAAATTTTTTTTAATAAATAAGAATCCTGCTTCTGGGCCCAAATCTTCTGGGGAGTCTGCCTGGGCCATCTGAAATTCCTTTGCCTTTTAGATTGTCCCTGGTGATCCTCTGGACAAGAGCATTGTCATTCGCCCTTTGGAGCCACAGCCGGCTCCTCACCTGGCCCGGGAATTCATGATCAAAACTCGTCGTAGGAAGGTATGTCTTCTTTGGCCTGTTGCCATCCCTCAACCCCCTAGAACTCTCATAAGTAGGATCTCTATCTCTGTCTTTTGGCCCCTTTTCCTAAAGGACCCTTTTCCAATGTAGACATATGTTCTGAATACTCTTGAGGCAACTAGACCTGGGCCCCAGTCTTGCTGTGAAAGGAGAGCCTTATCCTCCCATATGATAGTACACTGAAAGCAGGGCTCCTGAAACACCACCATCTACATTCCTGCTACCACTGGCCTCACGAGCACAGGTCTTGGGTGGCCTCCCTACTCGGTCTGCCACCACCTCGGGCTTTCTTGTATTTTTCTGTGTTCTGCAGGGCCTCAGTGAAGATGTGAGCATAAGCAAATTCTTCGATGATCCTATGTTGCTGGAACTCGCCAAACAGGATGTTGTGCTCAATTACCCCATGTGAGTGCACGGACTCCTGGCAGCTCCTGCTCCCTACAGTGGGTTGCAACTCCTGCACTTGAAGCTGAGACCTGGTATGACATGGCCTTCGTGTTGTTAAAGAGTGTCTGGAAGCTGCTGTTGGCATCTTGACCAACTCACCAACCTCTAACCCAGAGCGGCAGTGAGAGAAGAGCATTTGGCCTCCTGTTTCCTCCTGTGCCCTCTACCAGGCTCCATTTCCAAGGAAAGAGAGGAGCTTGCTTGGGCTCACAGAAAGAGAAGGGGGGATGGAACCCCAAGGGGCCCTATCTTTGGTATTTACATGGAATTTTATTTTCTACAACTTTGACCTTCGCCATGGTTTGCAAGTGAACAGAACATTTTGACCTCTGTCTTGCTCTGCTCCTTTCATCCCCATCTCCCCTGCCCCGTCTGGTCCTGGTGCTTACATTCTGAATATATGTCATCTCCCAAGAGGCTTCACTGCCTCTGCTTCCAGCTGCAGCCTCCTTCCTGCCTGAGTCCCCAGGGAAGCAGCCTGCCTTTTAATTCAGTGTTCCCATGAGCATCAAGGCGCTGTTATTGCCCCCTTGCTCCCAGTCTGTGCTGCTTCAGGGTGGGACCTAAGATGGCTTGGGAGTTGTTGGATTCCTGGGATCAGAGGTCTACCCCACCACCTCAGGAAATTGCTGCCCCACCCCGCCCAAGAATCTCCCTTGCCCTGGGGTATGGGGCCAGAGCACTTGGATTTTCAGCCATTTGCTCCAAGTCCTCTCCCCAGCCACCACCAGTCCCTTACTCTGTTCTCCCCCAATGAACAAGAGTCTGTTGATTTTCCTCAAAACTGCTTTATTAGGAACATACCAGGGATTGATTGAGGGAAGCCGGACTGCCTCGGCTTCTATAGGAGTCCTACTTCTCTCCAGCGTCCTGTGCCATCCTTTTGACATAATCGCTATACATTGTGTACACAGTCCCTGTGTGATGGAAAAGAAGTCATGCCCCTTGGCATTGAACCCTTCACCTATCCTCTTGTCTCTCTCAGGTGTCCCAGGGGTTCACCTCTAGCTGCTCCCTTCAGAGTCCAGCTTCCTGCTCAGCCCCAGGTTCCAACACCTGCTCCAAGCATCTGACCACACAGCCTGGGGAAACGGCCCATCTGACAGTTTACAAAGCAATTTCACATGTATTATCTGAGAAACCTTATAGCAACCTGTGAGGTAGGCAGGCCAGGGGTGGTTATTGTTGCACATCAGGAAACTGAGGCTCAGTGAGAAGGATTTGTCCACTGTCACAGCAAGTGGCTGCTTTTTAATCTCAAGAGGAAGAGAAATTCAACATCTGTTCTGTTGCATGATTTTTCTCACCCTAGGGCAAACTGTCATGAGACACTGCACCATCCCCACCGGCCTGGACAGGAGCCTGAACAGGGAAGATGGCTCAGAATAGGGGCTTCACCAAGGACATGATGTGGAGCCCAGAATCGGGAACAGGGACTTAGGTCCCTTTTTTTATTTTCTTTTTTTGAGGTGGAGTCTCATTCTGTTGCCTAGGCTGGAGTGCAGTGGTGCAGTCTTGGCTCACTGCAGCCTCTGCCTCCCAGGTTCAAGCAATTCTGCCTCAGCCTCCTGAGTAGCTGGGACTACAGGCACACACCACCAGGCCTGGCTAATTTTTGTATTTATAGTAGAGATGGGGTTTCACCAGGTCCTCCAGGATGGTCTTGATATCCTGACCTTGTGATCCACCCACCTCGGCCTCCCAAAGTGCCTGGATCACAGGCATGAGCCACTATACCTGGCCAAGTCATCGTCCTTTTAACTGTTGGGACTTACAGATATACAGACTGCCTAACTGGTTTTATCTCATTCTCCTGTGACCCCACGAAGCTACTCACCTAGCATGATTGCACCCACTACACAGGCCTGTGCTGCCACTCGGGTGTGAATCAGGTGTATGGACATCTTGGTGGAACCACGAGCCCTCAGCTGGTAAATCCTGTATGCTGCTACCACCAAGCAGCCTCCTAAGCCTGTGGGCAGAGAACACAGCCCCTGGGCCACGGCCACAATGCACAGCACCCTCCTAGTGAGAGACATCTCACCAGGCAGGCTGGACACCTGGATAAACAGCTGTTTTTATGCAGTATCTTATGCGGGGGGGGGGGGGGGGGTGGATGCAGGGGGCCTAGGGGGATCATTAGAATATGGAGTTTTGCCCTTCAATGGCGTTTTCCAAGTGGCTGCCTCCCTCTAGTGATGCCCCTCGCCTATATACAAATAGCTGATCACCATGACACAGCCCCTGCCCACCAGATTGCTCTGCTTTGGGACCTCCAGCCACACTGCTGGCTCCCCCCTCTGGTACAGCTGTTTTCCTACTTTACCAGGGCCATATGGAAGGAAGCCCTGTAGGACCCCAAAGGGTTCCTCTGACCCTATTTGGGTGTTGGTGCTCAGCTTCTTCATAACCCATGTACTCGGTTGGCCACCACCTCCGCCCATCCACATGTCCTCATTTCGTTGTAAGGGTTTACCCCTTGGCATCTTTGCTGTTAGTTCCCTAGTTCTGTGAGTAGGACCATTTGGGTTCTCTGACCTCTGCTTTATTATTCTTGGAAGGTACCAGAAGACATGATTGCTCAGAGAAGGCCCCCTACTTGCACCCCATTCCTTTCTTCACTTACCTATAGGCACCAGGGGAGATTCCCGAGTCTTCCTCAGGAGCTTCTTACGCACACTGTCTTCATCCTCGGGTGACACCCACCAGCGTCTGTTAGCAGACATAATCCTGGACCTGGATGTAAGCAGCTGGGACACCTAGGCTGCAGCTCAGTTCTAGAGAGAGGCACTCCACAATCAGAACTCTGATTCCTCAGTGTGGAGAGGAAAGGAGGGTTACCCACTAAGACCCCTCTCACCATGCCCAACACAGCCTCTCCTTGAAAAGCTGTCCCTCCCAGGTATCCCATCCAGGTGGCTGGGCCACTAGTGCCATTTCTCCATCTCCGTTTTCTACCATCTGCCTCTTGCCCAGCTCATTCTAACTTCACTGTTTTCTCAGCTTCCCCTTCCCCCATCTGCATCCCTGTGGGTGTGATCCTTGGGCCAAGAGAAACAGCTGGAAAAATCCACGGATCAGGGTGGAGAAACAGTCCTTGAGCATTGGGGCCCCGGTGGCCTTAGGTCTGTGATGGTCCTGAGGGAGCTGCAGAGCAGGATGTGGCCCCGGGGAGCCAGAACCATCCTAGACCAGACAGTGTCACAGCATTGGTTGCCAAATTGCCAGAGATTGTAATGTCACACATCGATTTGCATGTTAATTTAGCATATATTTTGCATATGAGTACTAAAGGAAGACATAGTTCCTGAGCTGATCCTGTTTTTCCAGGGCCATCTCTCCAGGCAGGTTCTTCACGATTACCAACTGGCTACCTTCATCTCTGGGCTGGAAACCCTGTCACTCTGCTGGCTGACCCCTGTAAATGTCTTCTGTGATCAGAGTCTCAGAGTCCTGGTCCTCAGACCAGGGGTTCTACCAATAGGATGCCTTTTTCTTTTCTTTCCTTTTGAGGCAGCATCTCACTTTGTCACTCAGGCTGGAGCACAGTGCCAATCACCACAACCTTGACCCTCCAGACTCAAGCAATCCTTCCACCTCAGCCCCTCAAGTAGCTGGGACTACAGGTGCATGCCACCACACCCAGCTAATTTTTGTATTTTTCGTAGAGACAGTTTTGCCATGTCACCCAGCCAATCTTGAACTCCTGGGCTCAGGTGATCTGCCCACCTTGGCCTCCCAAAGTATTGGCATTACAGGCATGAGCCACTGTGCCTGCCCTGAGTCAGCTTCTATCCTAGTTAGAAGATAGAACTCCTCTCCTGGAGGAGGAAGGACTCGTGGTCCCCAGGTTCTTGGCATGCCAGTGCTTACCCTAGGAGATGGCTAGAATGTGGAGAGCAAGCGGCCAGTCCAGGGCTCTGTGTCTGCTGTTTTGAACTGACCAAAAGCGGTTGATGGAGCTGCCACTATGGGGTCAGGGAAGCAATGACTTGGGCTTTATGAAGACTCTGAAGTCAGGGACAGAGAGGGGAGGGGAAAGGACAGGGCATCGGTCTTAACCCCCCAGCCGCTGAGTCCCAGGCCAGAGCTCCAGGCGCTGGAAAGTAAGGAAAGACCAGATGGAGAGGAGTCCCTAACTAGATTGAGTCTTCTAGTTCCCATGGAATTAAGTGGCTGGATCAGACAGGCTTGATGTGGAGAACGGAGATGGAGATGTAGGAACAAGGATGAGCAGAAAGCCTGGTCCCCCAAGCAACACTGCCTCGGATTCTCTTAGGAACAATGTGGAATATAAATAAAATGCCCTAGCTGGGAGAGGCACGCTCTCTGAACTGCCTTTTGGTTTTGAGTTGTGTTTTGGGGTTTTTTTTTTCCCAGAGACCGAGTCTTGAACTGTTGCCCAAGCTGGAGTGCAGTTGCACAACCTTGGCTCACCGCAACCTCTGCCTCCCAGGTTCAGGTGATTCTCCTGCCTCAGCCTCCCAAGTAGCTGGGATTATAGGCACATGCCACCATGCCCGGCTAATTTTTTGTATTTTTCGTAGAGACGGGGTTTCACCATGTTGGTCAGGCTGGTCTCAAAATCCTGACCTCATGATCCACCCACCTCGGCCTTACAAAGTGCTGGGATTACAAGCCTGAGCCACCACGCCCTGCTGGTTGGGTTTTCTTGTTTGTTTTTGTTTTGAGAGGGAAGCTCTGTCGCCAGGCTGGAGTGCAGTGACATGATCTCGGCTCACTGCAACCTCCACCCCCTGGGTTCAAGTGATTCTCCTGCCTCAGCCCCCCAAGTGGCTGGGACTACAGGCACATACCACCACACCCAGCTAATTTTTGTATTTTTAGTAGAGACAGGGTTTCACCATATTGGCCAGAAGGGTCTCTATCTCTTGACCTCGTGATCCACCTGCCTCGGCCTCCCAAAGTACTAGGATTAGAGGCGTGAGCCACTGCACCCGGCCCTATACTCAGTATATTTCAAAACTCTGAGCTATGCTATGTGGTAAGTAGCAGTTTGTTCACAAAGGAATGGAGCTTCAGAGAGGCTGAATGACTTATCCGAGGATACACAGCTAGTATATGGCAGTTTTGTCATCTGAACCCAGGTCAGGTTGGCTCCAGTGTTTGCACTCCTAACTGCAATGCTAACCTCCAGGGGACTGGTTAAACGGAAATTCTTTCCAGATGGATACTGAAGCTTAGGAATGCTAGTCAATCCTGGCATCCTTGTTTAGGAGAAGAAAAAGTACTTGCTAAGTAAATGGAAAAAGATAGGGTGTGCTAGGGAGATCGCACTCCATACCAGGCCTTTGTTCCTTCCCTAGATTACTCAGCCCTGTGTGTTTATCCTAAAGGGGCTTTGCAGCCCTGGAAATTTGTTCGGCAGCTGATGTCCTTTTCTTCCCCCAGTATTCACTGCTCTAGGCAGAGGCCCGGGGTCATAGCAACTCCCCAGGGCCTTCACGTGTTCCCAGCGTCCATGGGAACTCTCCTCCCAGTCTTTCACAGACACCCTCCTGTGCTGCCTCTCCAGGTTCCAGCAGTGGCCTGAATTCTCAGGAGATGGACACTATATTCCCTTTGAAGTCCTTTGAAGAACAGGAACCGAACCATGGATAGTGAAGTTCAGCTTCTCCCTATTGAAATGATGGTGGTGTTCCCACAGCGTCTCAGCCCAGAGCTGAGAAATAATTGCCGTGATTACTGAGCACCTTCTGTGGGCCAAGGAGTGTGCTAATTGCTTTGTTTTTGTTTCAATTTGAGATGGAATCTCACTCTGTCACCCAGGCTGGAGTGCAATGGTAATCATAGCTCACTGCAGCCTTGAACTCCTGGGCTTAAAGCATCCTCTAGCCTCAGCCTCCCGAGTAGCTGGGATTACAGGTGCGTGCCACCACACCTAACTAATATTTGTATTTTTAATAGAGTTGGGGTTTCACCCTATTGGCTAGGCTGGTGTCAAACTCCTGCCCTCAAAGTGATCCACCCACAAGAGCCTCCCAAAGTGCTGGGATTATCCTCCTGAGCTGCCATGCTTGGCCTCCTTTGTGTAGATTAATCCTCACAATAGCAGTGAGGTATTATTATCTCCACTTCACAGACAAAAAACTGGGGCTCCATTAAGTGTTTTGCCCAATAGTAAGGGACAGAAAAAAGGCCAGATTTCTAACTCTCTACTCGGGACTAACTTGAGAGAATGTAAAGTGGAGAAGTCTTGAAATAGAAGAAGCAAAATTGCTTTGTATTTCAAAAACTTCTGAGAACATACAGTAACTAAAAAAAACTTGAAGGAACAGATTTTTGTAGAGTCCTGCTTTAGTAAACAGATAAGATAAAATTATGATGGCATCATTTTTGTGAACATGCCGAGTCTTTAATGTTTTCCATTTATGCATTGCTACATTAGTAATTTGTTTAGTAGACCTCTTTTTCTTCCAAATCAGGTCACATCAATAGAAATTCTGATTTAGAGGGGCCTAAATCAATGATGCAGACAGACTTAGTGTAGGCCAAAGCCAGACGTGGGATCAATTCGCCCACAAATCAACCACTCTAAATATTGGGTTCTGCCACTCAGTCTCTCAGTCTATGGCTTCGCCAGTAAAAGCAAGGTAGCACCTGCCCAGAGGATGATCATAAGGGTTAAAAGAGAATTACTGTTAGAAATCCCCATGCACTGCTGCTCCTCTTCCTCCAGGAGCAAGTGGCAGGGAATGGGTAGCAGGCTGGGGGAAAAGTGGAGAGTCCCTGACAACAGATGGCAAAGTTACCATATTCTGTGTGGTTCCGAATTCAGCACAGCTTTTCTCATTCCCTTCCCCCAGACCCCCTCCTTCCTGGGCTTGCCCACCCTAATTGGAAACTTCAGGCTTGTTCTCCCTGTTGTGTTTAACGGGAAGGGATGGGGGGAAGGGAGACTAAGTCTTGAAGCTCTCAACACGATCTAAGGCACAGCTGTGCTATTTATAGCCCAAGGGAGCAAGTGACTGGGAGGGGAGGGACATGCAGCTTTTGCCTTGAGCTAATGGGAGCTGTGAGTGAGGGCATGATGGAGAATGAACTAGACTAGGGACGGAGGATGCTTGCAGTTGGGGTTGGAAAGGGAAGAAAGGAGGTTGAAGGGTCGGGAGAATCAAAGGGGAGAACACATCAGGCTATGTAGTTGTGTCTGGGGGACTTGAGGGGTAAGGAGTGGAATAACAGGAACGGGCAGTGAAAGTTTGCAGATAATATGGCTAGGCTGAGGCTGCTTCCTGGTGGAGGCAGGCTGTAACATCCCCCCTTCGCCCCACCCTTTTAAAAACAGACATTGCCAAGGACCTCCTAGCATTTGTCCAAGGACAGCCCCAAGGGCCACAGGCCTGAAGCCAGAAAGTGCCTTTGGTGTCCACTTATCTTGCTGAGAAGACTTCACATTTTTCTTTTTTCTTTTTTTTTTTTTTTTTTTTTTTGAGACAGAGTCTCGCTCTGTCGCCCAGGCTAGATTGCAGTGGCGTGATCTTGGCTAACTGCAACCTCCACCTCCTGAGTTCAAGCAATTCTCCCACCTCAGCCTCCCGAGTAGCTGGGATTATAGGTGTGTGTCACCATGCCCAGCTAATTTTTGTATTTTTAGTAGAGACGTGGTTTCACCATGTTGGCCAGAATGGTCTGGATTTCTTGACCTCGTGGTCCGCCCACCTGGGCCTCCCAAAGTGCTGGGATTACAGGCATGAGCCACCGTGCCCAGACTCCCTGTTCCCAAAAGGAAGCATTCTCAAAACTTACCTCTCTGGTTACCTCTGTTTCCATCTTCCAAGACAGAAGAATCTGCTCTGAGCTTACTGGCCAAGTGGGGACCCTGGAAAGTGTGTAATGGAAATAGTGACACAATGCAGCCTTCAGATTGACCCTGCTATTCCCAAAGCACAGAGCCCCAGGGCGACTCTCAAGTTCTCAAATTGGGTTTTGATCCTTTCCTGCCTGAGCCCCATGTGAATTAAAAGTGATGTGGTTCTCACAGCACCCGGCCATTCCACTCCCTGCCAAAGGCTGGAAATGAGACCCGTTTCCCTGTTTGAAACTTACAACTTTTTTCCCCTTCCCTCCAGCAGCCAGTCTTTCTTGTTCTAGGAACAGTGAGCCTTCATTCACTTATTCACTCAGCATATGCTTCCTAAGTACCTACTATTTGCTGGGCTCTGTTCTAGGAGCTGGGACACAGTG